GAATCACAAAACCCAACCAAATTAAAAGTAGATGAATTGTTAAAGAGCAAACCCAAATGAGAAGTGCCCACTAAGTATCTCAACACATGCAGTGCAGCATCAAAATGAGGAACCCTGGGCTGTGACATGAATTGGCTGAGATGTTGAACGCTAAAAGAAATATCGGGCCTAGTGTGTTGGAGGAAATTAAGCTTACCAATTAACCTCTTATATGCAGAAGGATCAGGAAGAAGCTCACCAGAATCAGCAGACAACTTGGAGTGAACATCCAAAGGAGAACTCACATGACTAACATGTAGACAATTGAACTCTGAAAGTAAGTCTAACAGAATCTTCTGTTGGGTTACAAATAGACCCTGAGGATGTTTAATGATGTGAAGACCCAAAAAATAATTTGCTTCACCCAAATCCTTAATCCGGAACTGAGTATCCAAAAAAGACTTCAAAGCAGTAATTTCACTCAAATCATCACCGGTTAGAAGAATGTCATCCACATAAATGACAACAATAGTAATAGAAGTAACGGACAACTTAGTGAACATGGAATAATCATTTTTACTTGGGGTATAACCCTTAGATTGGAGAGCAATAGAGAGCTTAGCATACCTTTGCCTTAATGCTTGTCTGAGTCCATAAAGGGATTTATTGAGCTTGCAAACTAAAGGCACAAAAGAGTCACTAGAAAGAACTTACAAACCAAGAGGAACTTTCATATACACCTCCTCATCTAAATAACCATGCAAAAATGCATTATTGACCTCTAGTTGGAAAATAGGCTAATTTTTCTTAACAGCAACAGTCAATAGACATTTAATGGTGGTATGTTTAACAACAGGAGAAAATGTTTCACTGAAATCCACCCCCTCTTGATGAGTGTGGCCCCTTATAACCAGTATAGCTTTGTATATTTCCACACTCCCATCTGCCCTTTGTTTAATTTTATAGACCCATTTGGAAGAAATTGCCTTCTTACCAGGGGGTAAAGGAACAATGGTCCATGTGTTATTGGCCTCTAAAGCCTGAAATTCTTTCACCATGACATCCTGCCAAGCAGGATTGGACACTACTTGATGGTAAAACTGAGGTTCAAGCAAGCAACTTTCAGATAAAGACTAGCAATCCTTAGAAACAGAGACATTTGAGCAAACATAATCCTTAAGATAAAGTGGGGGATTAGAAGGCCTAGAGGACTTTCTCAAAGGAAGAGGGGCAGAAGAAGGAACTGAAGGGACTAGAGAAGGTGGGGTTAAAGGAGATAGGGGAAGAAGAAGAAGAAGCAGGAGAGGAAACAGGAGGATCAACAGAGGTAGGGGTAGGAATAGAAGGAGGAGATGTGGAAAAGAAAGAAGGAGGAGAAGAAGAAGGAGAATAAGGAAAGATAGATTCATGAAAAATGATATCTCTGGAAAAGAAAACATTATGTTTATCCAAATTCAACAATTTCTAAGCCTTCTTTGTCATGCTATATCCAAGAAACACACATGAAATAGTTTTGGACTTGAATTTGTCCCTATAAGGTTTGGGCACAGTAGCAAAACATAAGTAACCAAAGACCTTTTGATGAGAATATGTAGGTGGAGATCCATACAGTAGTTCAAAAGGAGTTTTATGTTGTAACAAAGGGGAAGAAAATGTATTAATCAAGTAAGTGGCTGTGAGTACGCACTCCCCCCGAGTATTTGAGTGGTAGTTTAGACTAAAAAAGAAGAGATTTAGCAGTTTCTAGCAAGTGTTTATGTTTCCTCTCCACAACCCCATTCTGCTGAGGAGTATGTGGAGAAGAAGTCTGCTGGAAAATGCCTTGTGCAGAAAAAAATGAAACAGCTTCAGTACTTGATCCTAGTTCAAAGGCATTATCAGATCTAAGTGTTTGAATAGAGGAGTGAAATTGGTTCTAAACCAAAAAAATGAAGGATTTCAAAAGAGGGAAAGCATTTAATTTGGTGGAGAGTAAATGAGTCCAAGTGGCTCTAGAAAAATCATCCACAATGGTCAAAAAGTATCTGAGACCATTATAAGTTTGCGTGTGGTATGGACCCCATAAATCCACATGAACAAGTTGAAAAGGAGCATTGGTTTTAATAGAGCTATCAGGAAAAGAAAGTCTTTTCTGCCTAGCCATGGGACAAACATCACAAATAAAATGTTGTTTCTTGGAAAATTTATCCTTAATGTGAGCGATTGACTTCATTTTATGAAAAGGTATGTGACCAAGCCTCAAATGCCAAGCCATATCAAAATCAAAAGCAGAATCAAGAGAATGTACACAATTGGAAACAGTTTTATTGACTTCAATGGTATTTACAATGTTACCATGACAAACTTTAGATGGAAAACAAGCAGAATTGGCAGAAACAACATCATGACAAACTTTAGATGGAAAACAAGCAGAATTGGCAGAAACAACATCACTGACTGAGTAGAAACAGAAGATAATGTTGAAGGGGAAGACTTAGGCTGGAAGAGATACAACCCATTAGAGATTTTGCCAAGAACCAGTGGCCTCTTCAGTGAAAGGCCCTGTAAGATACAATCATAAGCAGAAAAAGAGCTTTACAACTTAGTTGTAACAAAAGCTGATGCAATGATATCAAATTGTACTGAAAGGAAGGTACAAGTAGAACATTTTGCAAGAGTAGGTTAGTTGTCAAACGAAGAGAACCTGAACAAGTTACTTTAACTCTATAACCATTGGGAAGTATGACTAAGTAAGGAACAACAAGAGGTTTTATATCAATTAGGAGAGATTTTTGGGGAGTCATATGATTAGGCGCTCCTGAATCTATTATCCAAGGATTACCAACTACTCTAGAAAGATTGCAAGCAAAATCACGACAAGTTCTGGTATCAACATAAGGAAGCAAACCTGCAAAGTTGGCAGATGCAGAAATGGCGGTGTCCGGAGAGATCTTAAACTAGTGGAACAAGATCAGCAAATGTTCGTACTGCTCCTTTGTGAAACCATGGATTTTGGACTCAGATTGTTCATAGCGATTATCAGAGGAAAGAGTATCTGGTTGTCCAAGATCATGACCCGCACTATGAGATTCTGAAACATGAGCATAGGCAGCAGGTTTTCTGAATTTTCTAGGTTGGGGAGCACCAGGGTAACCATGTAATTTGTAATATTTTTCGATACTATGTCCTGGTTTCTTACACTATTTGCACACCACAGTAGCTTTTTTAGAATCGAAATTTACTTTCTGAGGATATGACTTATGCACACCAGTAGTAGAGGGACCAACTAAAGGTTTTTGAACTCCAATGAAGAATGAAGCAGATTCAGAAGAGAAGGAAGGAGGTGCAGACTGAGCCTCACACTAACTCTCATCATTTAACAACATGGAATATGCGGTGTCAATGTTGGGCAAAGGTTTCATTGCCAGAATATTCCTCCTAATCGTGGTATATGTGTCATTAAGACCCATTAGAAACTGATGAAGTTTTTGATCCTCCTCTAGTTTCTGGAAAGCCTCCTTTCTTCCACACACACAATCAAGATAAATGATTGAATATGCTAATTCATCCCATAGCTTCTTAATCCTAGAAAAGTAACCAGCAATGTTAGAATTTCCTTGAGAAATTGAAGACAGGGCCTTGCGTATCTAATAGACTTTAGAGCCATTGGGCTGCCCATATCGCTCCTCTATATCCTACCAAAACTTGGAAGCCAATTCTGTATACATAACACTCTCCCTAATCTCAGCTTCCAAACTGTTCAAAATCCAAGCAATTACCATATCGTTACAACGACACCAAGCTTCAAACAATGGCAAAGCTGAATTAGGCTTAGTGATAGTCCCATTAATTATCCCTAGCTTTTTTTTTGCAGGACAAACCAATCAACATTCCCCTTCTCCAGCTACAATATCCCATCCCATTAAATCTATCAGCCACAATAACTGTCCCAGGATTATCGGTGGGATAAAGGTACAACGGATGTGAGGGTTCAACAGAGGTCGAATCGGAAGCTATAGCAAGAGTGGAAGAAGTAGTAGAAGCAGACATGGTATCCGGTGGTGCCATGATACAGTTCTAAAAAAACTAGGGTTTCGAATTGAAAGGAGATAAAACTTCACAAAGAAAGCCAGCCAAACAAAATACAAATGAATTTGAATGTAATACCAACTCTCTTTACTAAATCGAAGAATCAGGAGTAGTAAACACCTTTAATGGCGTCAATTTTGAAGAACATCGTCGGAACTGTCGAAACCGTCATCGATAAGAAAAGTCAAAATTGACCGTAAAGTTAGCATCAGACTAAAGTCGGATCTCCGATCTACCCAAATCCGGGCTCTGATACCGTGTTACAAATCAAAAAGCAATTTGAGAAAGTGTTTGGAACGAGCTCTACGAGAGAGAAGACTGGAACCTTCCATTCTACTAAGAGGAAATCTGATAAAATGAGTCTTCTAGCAAAAATGAAATGTTGAAACTAGCTATTTATACTGAATACAAAATTGAAGGCTATCTTTACAAAGTGACTATATTTGCACGAATAAATAATGCTACTGAAGAAGTCTACAAGGCGGGTCAGATTTGATGTATTGGGCTGAGTCGTGTATTTGGGCGTCTGTACCAAGAACCCGGGCTTCAACACCAAGATGTCTTGGAATATCAGAAATAAGGTTCAAAACTTTAAAAGTCCAAAGGGTGCCAAGTAGCATAGCTGGTGATCTCTCGTTTTCAGAAAATTTTGCTGATATTTTATCACTAATAGTCATTGGAGAAAATTATGCATATGTATTGTTAGATGTTGAAATCTAGAGAAGAAACGAAGATTGCAAATAGCGTATGGTGTTTAAGAGAAGCTTCGAGAGAGAAAAGGAGAGAGCAGATATTTTCTCATTATTCCAAAATGAATCAATAATCTGTACATAAAAGAATGAAAGAAATGAATATAAATAGTGGGCCTTGACCCGGTGGCCCAATTACAACCAATACTACATAACATGGGCCACTTCTAATTCTGATTACAATAATAGGCCCAAATATAACCATCAGCCTTTGTCTAATATTCTAACAGTCCCCATCAAGTTGGAGGGTGATAAAACTCGCAACTTGCAAAGATGATAATGATGAGCAGGACCAAGAAGTGCTTTGGTAAGAATGTCAGCAACTTGAGCATAACTAGAAACATGTGCCAAGCTAATCAGCCCATCACCAATCTTGCTTCGGACAAAATGACAGTCCAACTCTATATGTTTGGTCCGTTCATGAAAAACTGGATTGCGAGCAATATGCAAAGCTACCTGGTTATCACAGTATAAAGAAACAGGAGAAGAAGAAGAAGGAATACCAAAATCATATAATAATCTGGAAAGACAAGTAACTTCAACTGCTGCTTTACTCATGGCCCTGTATTCAGCTTCAGCAGAAGAAAGAGAGACCACAGGCTGTTTCTTAGATTTCCAACTCACCAAACAGTCTCCCAGAAAGGCACAAAAACCAGTGACAGACCTTCTACTATCAGCACAAGAAGCCCAATCACTATCACAATATGCTCTTAATGCAAAGTTAGGAGAATGACTGAAGAATAACCCAAAATCAGAAGTCCCTTTAAAATAGCGCAAGAGATGTGAAGCAGCCTGCATATGAGGAACGCGAGGGGCTTGCAGGAACTGGCTAAGGTGCTGGACTGCAAAACTGATATCAGGCCGTGTGTGGGTTAAAAAATTTAACTTGCCTACTAAGCATCTATATTCTTCAGGCTTGGGCAAAGGATCACCAACAGAAGCCTTCAATTTCTCATTGAGAGTAAGAGGACAAACAACAATAGAAGAGGCAGAAGAGGCAAACGACTCTAACAAGTCATGAATAAACTTCTTTTGATGAAGAAGAACGCTAGAATCACAGTAGAGAACCTCAATTCTCAGAAAATAATTAAGATAACTAAGGTCTTTAATCCTGAACTGGTAATGTAGAAAGCCCTTTAAAGATGAAATCTCAGACAGATCAGTGCCGGTAAGAATAACGTCATCCACATACACGGCTAAAATGACCAAGGAAGAACCAGAACCCCTGGTGAATAGGGAGTAGTCATTTAAAGAATGAGAATATCCTCTAGAACAAAGAGCTTGAGACAATTTTGCATACCATTGTCTAGAAACCTGTCTCAAACCATAGAGGGACTTGAGTAGTTTACAAACTAAAGGAGGAGAAGAAGAAAAAGAGGGAGAAACAGATAAACCAGGAGGCACTTTCATGAAAACCTTTCCATCAAGATCCCCATGTAAAAAGGCATTATTAAGATCAAGCTGGAACAAGGGCCAGTGTTGTTTGACAGCCATAGCAATGAAGGTTTCAGTGTAGACATCTTGACAACAGGAGAAAAGGTTTCATGAAAATCAACCCCTTCAACCTAAGTATCACCTCTAACTACTAACCTGGCCTTATACCTCTCCAGGGGGTAACTCAACAATGTCCCAAGTTCTATTAGCCTCCAAAGCCTCAAACTCCTTTCTCATAGCCTCCTGCCACTCAGGGATAGCAGCAGCCTGTGAGTAAGTGTAAGGCTCAGGAATATGGAGCTATGAACTGGTTGCAGTGAATGAAACAGACTCAGAGCTAGAAGAAACATGGGCAGAAAGAGAAGTAGGAAGTGTGGAACATACAAAGTCCTGAAGATAAGCAGGGACAGTATGAGGCCTACTAGACCTTCTAAGAGGAGGAGGATCAGATGATGGAGCAGAAGAAGCAGGAACAGGAGAGGATAAAGAAGAAGGTGAAGCATCAGAAGAAAGGTCAGGGGTGAAAGGAGAAGGGGAAGGTATAGTAACAGAAGGAGATAGAGAGGAAGTTGAATCATGAGAGATATGTTCAAGAAGAACAAGTGGGGAAGAAGGACCAGGGATAGAAGTAGGTATAGAAGATGATGAATCATCAGAAAAGTGACCAGGAATGAGAAGAGAAGGCAAGACGGGGGATGGTGAAGGAGAATGTTTAAGAAAAGGAAAAATGTGTTCATGGAAAATTACATCTCTGGAGACAAAACAAGATTGAGTGGTCATATTGTAAAGTTTATAACCCTTTTTGGCAAAAGGGTAGCCAAGAAAAACACATGGGATAGACCTAGGATGAAATTTATCTTTATGGGTTTTAGGGATAGTGGAGTAAAAAGGCAACCAAAAAATATAAGAGGGGGAATATGTAGGAGCCTTGCCAAATAGTAGCTCATAGGGACTCTTGTGCTTGAGAAGAGGGGAAGGGAATCTGTTTATTAAATAGGTGGCAGTAAGGAGACAGTCTCCCCAGAATTTTATAGGAAGATGAGATTGAAATAAAAGAGCCCTGGCAGTTTCTAACAAGTGCCTATGTTTTCTCTCTACCACAAGAGGTTTGATGAATAATTCCTTTTTCAGAAAAGAAAAGGGAACCAGAAGAAGAAGAAGAACCTAGCTTTAAAGCATTGTCACTCCTCACAGTCTGGACTCTAGTTTGAAATTGTGTTCCAACCATGGAAATGAAGGCCTTCAATAGGTCAAAAGCATTGCTTTTTGCCCCCATTAGGTGTGTCCAGGTAGCTCTAGTGTAGTCATATACTATAGTAAGGAAACACTTAGCACCAGAGTGAGTAGGAGTGGAGTAAGGACCCCAAGTATCTATGTGAATAAGCTGAAAGGAATGAGTGGACAGAATAGAACTATCAGGAAAAGGGAGTCTAGTTTGTCTTTCCAAGGGGAAAATAGGGCATGTGTGTCACACCTCCTTTTTTACACATCTACCCCGAAGGATAATGTATAAGGGCGTTTTTCCATTTAAAGTGACATTATTCGAAATGGGATTATTTATTTGATTTTAGAGTCGCTACTTGGGATAGGTTTGGCTTTTGGTGTCCCAAGTCACCGATTTAACTTGAATCCCAAATCGAGGAAAATTTTCGACTTCCCAATTGGAGCCTGCGAACCAGAAATTCTGAATAAGGAATTCTGTTGACCCGAGGGAAGGTGTTAGGCACCACCGGATCCCGTGGTTCTAGCACGGTCGCTTAACTTATTATAAATGGCAAAAATCTGATTTTTATACATGTTATCCTATAGTGCAATTTTAAAATTATTTACCTCTTTAATTAAATTTTTTAAAGAAAGTGAACGTCGTTTAAAACGTATTTTTGGATCTTGTCACATGAAATGCACCCGGACACTCGACACATTTTATTTAACGTTTTGGGATTTGGATTTGGGTTGCATGAAATGCACACCCGTTTTTAGGAAGGTAAAATTATTAAAAAGCGCGCCTAAAGCGAATAACGTGTTATTAACTTTGCAGGAGGCAATGAAAATTCGCTAAATGGCACGTCCCAAATGCTACGTATTTTAATATACACAATTAAAGAGGGCCACGCAATTCGTGAGTTTTATTTGGCGTGGCGCACCTCATTTATTTTAAAGGCCGCCCTAAAAGGGACTATTATTTTCTAGTATAGATTGTTTCTAAAAAAAAGAAACCTAATTAATTAGCTTTGTCAATTACTATTATTAAAAGTAAAATCAAGAAATTTGGGCCTCAAGTTCAAGTCCACGCTTGAACAAGAGAAAAATCTCTTAATTCAAGCATGCTACTTAACTAGAAGGCCCAAAACCTATGTTACAAATTTAATCCCATAATCTTAATACAAATTCCAGCTCTCATCACTTTTGGGCCTTGAAAATTGGCCCAAGAATATGAAAATATCATCAGCTTATGAAAAACGGCATGCGTTGGGTCTTTGGCATACAAACTTCTAGGCCCAAATCTCATTTAAGTACAAGGCTGTCAGGTTTTGGCCTGCATGGGCCCACAATTGAATATTGATTTCTATATGGATTTCTAACCATTAATTTTGATTCACAACTTATTTAAATGGGAGATTGGTTTAAACTCCAAATATTGATTTTATCAGATAACATTGAATTTAATCATCACAGGCATACTCGACTCATATACTTAGCCAACCGTATTGAATTTAAGACTTCAAAACCAAATCAGTTTCAATCAACACATTCTATGGGTTCTTATGCGTGACTTAAACCTGTAGATGAACAATTAAACTATTTACTGCATTTGAACTCTAAAACATGTTTGATCTAGCGTTAATATGAACACACAGTTCATTTTAGATTCCATTTCGAATCAGTAGCTTATCTCGAATTTAACCTTCTAATGAATATGGCAACTACACTTGAATTAACCATACTAAAACTGATGCTCCTGTTAACTTATCATGACAGTTTGAATACCCAATCATCAATCACAGATGCATGTTTATGATTTCAGAACCAGTTTCAGACTCATAACAGTCTTCAATAAAAAATCGACCTAATACATGAGATCAAGCTACGTATACTAAGGCTAACACTAGATGAACAATCATCAGTCCAAAAGTCTCAAACAGTCCAGTTATTCAGTCCAGTTATACAGTCCGTAGTTCATGTAAATACAAATCAAAGCCAAACTATACTAAACTAACATATATCAGCAGCACCTATCTAACTATAGATACATGATGATCCAAACAAGCACAGTTCTGGAAGCAAATGTGTGAACATTTTTATTTCATTCCCAACTCAAAGCTACAGCAAGTCAAATTCAAGGTGTGTACCTGGAATTGAGTGAACAAAAGAACAAAGGAGGTCAGCAGTGTTAGACAGCAGGGAAGGCAACAACAATCAACAGCTTGAGACAGTGTTGTAAATTGAGAAGCAGTATCAAATAACCAAAGACCAATTTCAGCCAGCAAACACCCCAAAAATAGCTTGAATAAACCCAAAAGGACTCGACATTGAACCCAGGAAAACTAGGAACTCGAATTGACAACTAAACTTGAAATAATCTAAGAAAGTTTCAATGTAACGGTACTTTTTTTTTTGGAATTTTCTGTTGCTTTTACTTTTTTTTTTTGGTTTTCTGAAGAAAAACTGGATCTGAGATGAAATTTTTTTTTTAATTTTTCAGACCTGAAACCTCTAAGAATTTTGTGTGAACTTTCAGCTTTTTTTTAAAACTTCGAGGAACTTTTGGGGGGAGTTTTTAGATCTGAAACTTTTTTGGGAATTTTCAGGGGTTCCACCCTTGGGAAAGAAGGCAAGGGCACTGCCTTTTACAGGTAGAAAATTAGGGGGAAGCTTCTTGATTTCACTTACCCCTTTTCCCCCCTTTTTATTTTCAGTTTTTATTCAATAGTCCTTCATTTTCTGACTTGTTTCTCAAGTTACTACCCTAAGTTCTGAAATTAGCATTAAGGCCCTATTTTAGAAGGTCCTAGAAGATTCTAGATTTAACTACAGCATTCCTACCCAATCTTGAATACCCAAACTACCCCTGAACTTGTTTTGAAATTACTAACCTAGTACTAAACTAAACCTCAACCTCTTTTACCCTAATTAAAGACTATCAGCTATAACCAAACAGATTAAACTAATTAAAAACTAAATAATAACAACCATGGAATCACTGATTAAAACAAACACTAATAACAAAAAATTAAAATCGAATACTAACTGGAGAAATCAAAGCCTATGCTACCAAATTAAAACCTATATCAAACATATTCAAACAAAGATTAAACTAATATCAAAAATCAACAAAACAGGATCAATTCTAAACCACATCGAGACAAGAATTAAACTAAAAAGATCAAAACAATCATAGGAACAGAATAAAGAAAAAACTTATTGTTTTTAACCATTCTTGTAATCTAATTAGGTCAATATTCATGCCAAATTTTATCTGAAACAAAGGCAGCAACTTGAACACTCAAAAAAATAGGAAAAGAAAAGAAGAATGATTCAAAAGAAACAGAAGAGAAGAAAAGAAACAAAAATAAACAGAAGAAGAAAAGGAAAGGAACTCACTATGTGCCCTGATATTCACATATGCTAGGAAAGGCTCTCTCATGAATTGATTTGGCCTTGACTTCAAAAGGTCGAACCCTAGATGCGAAATTGGAGAAATTCGGTTGGGATTTTTGTGAAATAACCATGAGTGTGGAGCTTAGGGTGGCCTGGGGATTGTGGGGTACAAATTTGGTACGATTTGGGTGGCGGCTCCGCCGTGCACGGTGGTGGCGGCGCCTAGGGTTCGACATATTTGGAGGTTCTGGTTAGGCCTTGACGGGAACTAATCATGGATTCATGATGTGGAGGAAGAGATGAAACCATGGTGAAATTTTGGAGGCAGTTGGAGCTCCGCCGCCGCCGCGGGCGATTTCCGGCGGCGGTTTGCGGCGGAAGGCGGTGGGGTTGAACAGGGTACGAGGAGGGTGAAGTCTGGTCTCTAGGGTTCCTTAGAATTTTAGGACACTTTTATTTTAATTGATTTAAACTATAGAGACCGTTGGATGATAAAAAAGAACGGACTAGATTGATTTAAACCTGAAGATCTCAAAACGACGTAGTATTGGCATGATACTACGTCGTTTGAATGGTCTGGAGGACTGGGAGATTGGACCGGGTAAAAGGGCGGGTTTGGGCCGTTTTGGCCGGACTTGGGGTATTTTAACTTGGGCTAGTCAATTTAAATGAAAAATGGCCCAAAGCTGGCTGGCCCTTTGCTTCTTTATTTCAATTTTTTTTATTTGTTTTCTTCTTTTTCTTTTCATTTATTTAAATTTTGAATTTTATTAAGTACAAAAATAAAATATAGCCAAAACCTGATCTAATTCTAAAATGAGACTAATTAATTCTCAAAAATTAAACGAATCCTAGTTTAAGGAAAAATCAAAAATTTGCAAGTAAAACAATATAAAGGACTATTTTTAATTATTTTCTCCTGTTTTCAATGATGTTAATTAATCTAAAAATCTAGAATTGGGTCCTAAATGCAAGTATACTATTTCGTAATTTTCTTTTCATTTTTATGACAACTAAAAATACACACAAAATGCAAACAAAATACAAAATCATGCAGTTAATTTCTAAAGATTCAAATACTAAAAGAAAAAATTATAATTTTAATGAATTCTATAGGAGTAATTTAAGCGCGACAAAAATCACATTCTCACAATGTGAATGACTGATTAGAAAACAAATCACTATTAATACCAAAAATAAATTTCATTTTTGAAAATGGTATATGGCCAAGTCTATAATGCCAAACAACATCAAAATTATTCACTTTATTTGAAGCAGCCATGGTATTTATAGATGAATTGTCATTGGCAGCAGTTGCATTAGAAACTACAGGTAAGGAAGAAACATGTAAAGAAGAAACAACTGAAGAACAAGAGTTTACATGAGCAGAGTCAATAGGTGAAGTCACATGCTGAAATAGCTTGTAAAGTCCAGTGTCCAGTCTACCAAGCACCAATGGCTTCTTCACTGAAGGGCCCTGGAAAGTGCAAGCAGACTCGGTAAACTGAACAACATCATCACAATGATTTAAAAGTTTCTGAACAGATATGAGATTATGTTTGAAACTGGGAATGTAAAGAATATTATGAAGGATTAAATCAGGGAATAAAGCTAAAGAGCCAACATTGGTGACTTTTACTTTATGCCCATTTGGGAGAGACACAAGATAAGGAATGGGAAGAGTGATAATATCAAAAAGTAAACTCTTAATGGAAGTCATATGATCAGTAGCTCCAAAGTCTATTATTCAAACAATGCCATTCACACTAGATAACATACAAGCTCCATAAGAAACACCCTCATAAGGCATGAACTTACCAGCAAAGTTAGCAAAAGCCAAGAGAGGTGGAGAGTGTGGGGAAGCAGAAAGTTGGAATTGTTGTAATAAGGTCATCAGCTAGGAGTATTGATCCTTGGTAAGGCCAGGTATCACAGAAGACTCCTCATGCTCAGCTGGACCAGCAGAACTACTAGGCACAGAAGAAGCACTAGAAGGTTCACGTTCAACATGTGCAGCAGTTCTGCGAGGAGGAGGTCCTTTACTGAACTTGAAATGAGAAGGATACCCATGCAACTTATAGCATTTATCTACGGAATGACCAGGCTTCGTGCAGTATTTGCAGATAATTGAATTCCTGGTGCCCTCAAAAGAAACCTTGGAGGAAAATGAGGACTTAGAAGTCCCAGCATGAAATGAAGCAGATTGAGATGTGAATTGGGAGGCAGAAGACACATGTCTCTGTTTCTTATCAGATAATAGAATATTGTACACATTTCCAACAGATGGAAGTGGCTTCATCATTAGAATATCGTTGCGCGTTTGCATGTAGGTATCATTCAGACCCATAAGGAACTGATAAACCTTCTGCTCTTCATCATCAGCAGCTTTGCCCCCACAAGTACAAACTCTGACCATATAAGATGCTATCTTATCCCAGAGTTGTTTGATTTTGTTGAAATAAGAAGCTATGTCTAAAGATCCTTGGGAAATATGAGCTAATTATTTCTTTAGTTCAAAGACTCTAGCCCCATCAGCCTTACCATATCTCTCTTCCAATTCACACCAAATGTCCTTGGCATACTCAGAATATTCTACGCTAAGAGATATTTCTTTTGACAAAGAGTTAATCAACCATGACACCACAAGATCATTACATCTTTGCCACTGGCATGCCAGAGGGGACCCAGAAAGTCGTTTTGTAGAGGAACCACCAATAAAATCAAGCTTATTACGAATGGAGAGAGCAACTAAAATGTTTCTCCTCCAGCTGCCATAGCAGGTTCCATCAAACGGATTAGAAACCAAAGAGGTTCCCAGTACATCTGATGGATGCACATATAGAGGATGACAAGGATGCGTAAAATCATACTCATGAAACACAATACGAGATGCAGTAGATGAAGAAGAAGGCGTAATAACAAGATTATCATTCGTCATCGAGAGAAAATAGAACAACAAACACAACAACCAACAAAGTTATGAGATATGAAGAAGAAACTGATTTACCTCTTTCTTTTGCAACCGAAAAGAGAACAACCTTGTGAAAAGAAGAAGAAACTTTTGGCGGCTCAGCAAAATACTGATGAAGAAACCCTAGCTTGAATTAGACGAACGAATCAGTCAAGTCCAGTCAATACAGCCATCGAAGATGAAGATCCAGTAAAAATAAGCAAAAAAATCCCAAAATCTTCCAGCAAAATTCGACCAAAATCCTAATCCAGCATAAATGCGATGAAAACCCAAAAGTCCACGAAAACTGAGATGGTTAACATCGATCGGAAGCAACTGAAGTGATCTACCAGAATCTACGCTCTGATACCATGTTAGATGTTGAAATCTAGAGAAGAAATGAAGATTGCAAATAACGTATGGTGTTTAAGAGAAGCTTCGATAGAGAAAAGGAGAGAGCAGATATTTTCTCATTATTCCAAAATGAATCAATAATCTGTACATAAAAGAATGAAAGAAATAAATATAAATAGTGGGCCTTGACCCGGTGGCCCAATTACAACCAATACTACAAAACATGGGCCACTTCTAATTCTGATTACAATAATAGGCCCAAATATAACCATCAGCCTTTATCTAATATTCTAACATGTTTCATTCGTGAACAACTTTGAAATAATGGAATGCGATATATATATATATATATATATATATATATATATATATATATATATATAAAATTCTTTGTAATTCAAAAATTACCATCCAGGCATCCATTAATAGGTATACAAACTCTCTCGTGTGATCTAATCCATTATAATTCTTTGTAATACAAAGATTACTTTTGACTAGATGCCTTTAATTATAAGTTATACATCACACAAGAGAGTTTGTTTCTCTCCATGGATTAAAAAAGAAAGAAAGAAAAGAAACAGTGAATAATATATCTAAACTTTCTTCTGGAAGTTTACTAACGTAGAGGTATGATTTACAATTCTTAAATCTGATATATTATAAATTTATCTGAATTTTTAATTTGCATAGTCATTTTTTGTTCTTTTTCACTACAAGTTAATGGGTAATCACTATTCAAAAATAATTTTTACAATTCTTAAATCTGATATATTATAAATTTATCTGAATTTTTAATTTGCATAGTCATTTTTTATTCTTTTTTTTTGGTCAAATATTAAAACTTTATTTAACCAGTAATGAGTTTACAGCACCTCTACCTCCTTTGGACTTAGGAGTTAGACTCAACTAACATTAAGAAAACAAAAGACTATAAAAAAAAGACAGTTATCCTTTACATATTAATAGTTCCTCTATTTCTACATTTCATAGAGGAAAACTATCTACTCATTCTAATTTCTTCTTCCATTTTATCCTCTGTTGTCCTTTGATATGTAGTTGAAGAACAATGTCACGTATAATCTTTTTTGTATCTGTCTGTTTCCCCTGAAATCTGCGCATATTTCTTTCTATCGATGTATGGTATATCACTGCTGCATACAGAAATGCCAAGATGGTCTGCCATTTTTTGTTCTTTTCATCAACCATAATACTTCCTCATCCCAGGTACCAATTTGATGTCTTTCTCCCATCCAGTTTAGTAGTATGTTCCACATATTCCTTGAGAATTGGCAATCAAATAACAAGTGAGACATTGTTTCTTCTTTTCCACTGTTGCATAATACACATCTCACATCGTCCTGTATTCCCCAAGCTGTCAACCTATCCACTGTGACCATCCTGTGGTGAAGTGCTAGCCATAGAAAGAAGTTGTGTCTAGGTATGGTGGTGCCTAACATTAAGGCTTTCCATCGAACCTTTGGAAACTGAGGTCTCGATAAGGTGTACATCTTTTGAATATTGAATTGCCCCTTTCTGTAGAATTTGTTCATGTTGGCAAAGGAGTCTATAGTCAGGTACCATTCTCTAATATCAAACACCTTTCTTACTAGCCAACAGGCTTGATTAGGAGTACTCATTGTATGGAAGTCCTGCCTTTTGATGTAGATAGAGTGAATCCATTTGATCCAGAGAGCATCCTTTTTTGTATGTATTGCCCACATTAGTTTGCATATTGCTGCTTTGTTCCACCATACAAAGTCCATGACATTTAGACCACCAGCTGAAGTTGGCATACAAATACTGTCCCAAGATATCAAGGCTCTCTTTTAAGGGATTTGGCTACCTGTCCATAGAAATGATCTGCAAACAGCATTCACCAATTGTATAATCTTCTTTGGCAGCAAAAACACTTGTCCCCAGTATGTTTGCATCTCAAATAGCATATTTTTTATCAGTTGAACTCTGCCGTCATTGGATAGGAATTTGAGGTCCAGCACTTTATTCTGTTGGTGATCTTCTCCACTAATGGCATGCATTGCTGTATTGACAGCTTCCTTGAGGATAAAGGAACTCCCAGGTATTTGAAAGGTAGGGCTTCCAACTTGAATTGATAGCCAGTGTTGATCATGTCTTTGAAATCCTAAGTAACTCCAGCTACATAGATAGAACTTTTCTCCAAGTTAGCTATGAGTCCTGTCACTTTTGAGAAATGATTGAATTTGTCCAGCAGTAGTTGAATAGAGATTTTTTCAGCTCTGCAGCACATAATCAGATCATCTGCAAAACAGATATGAGTTAGGTTTAATTTGGCACATTTTGGGTGGAAGTTGAAGTCTGGGATGTCTCTAAGAGTCTTCAATGTTCTACTCAGATACTCCATCACTAAGACAAACAGGTAAGGGGGCATGGGATCCCCTTGCCTCTGTCCTTTCCTTGCTTGAAATCTTTTAGTAAACCCACCATTTATCATAATTTAGTAGTTCACATTGGTTACACACCCCATAATCCACCTTACCATTCTGTTTGGGAAACCATATTCCTGCAGAACCATTTCTAAGAAAGGCCATTCAACTGAGTCATAGGCCTTCCTTATGTCCACTTTTATAATGCACCTGGGAGAGACTTCTTTTTTGTTATATCCCTTAACCAATTCATGAACAATTATCACATTATCCAGAATACTTCTTCCTTCTATGAAAGCTGACTGAGCAGGTCTAACTATGAGGTCCACCACTGTTTTTAATCTTGATGTAAGGATTCTTGCAATGATCTTGTAGATAGTTGTGCAGCATGCTATAGATCGAAACTCCTTTACATATGAAGGACTGGATACCTTTGGCACCAAGGTAATAGTAGTACTGCTAACATTCTTCAGTAGTTTCCCAGATTCAAAGAATTCCTTGATTGCTTTAATAACTTCCTCTCCCACTATATGCCAGTATTTCTTAAAGAACTCAACTGGGAATCTATCAATGCCAGGTGCTTTATCATTTGGCATGCCTTTAAGTTCTTGCACAATCTCTATATCAGATACACTTTTGACAAGTTGTTGTTGTTGTTGTTCTATATTCAAACAAGGTCCATTCCTGGCAATATTCACATCAAGGCAGGGTAATTCAGTAGCCCTTGTTCCCAGCAAGCCTTCAAAAAAAAGCGATGAACTCCTGTTCAACCATCCGGGGGTCAGTTAGCCTATGCCCAAGGTCATTACATATAGTAGAGACTCTATTTCTAGCCTGCCTTGCTTTTAAATGAGCATAGAAAAATCTTGTATTAGAGTCTCTTGCTGAGATCCACATAGCCCTTGATTTCTGCCTGTACACCTTCTCTTGAATACCTTCCCATTTCTCTACTTGTAGTAATAGTGCTTTCTCCTTCAGGATCAGTGAGCTATTGAATAAATAATCATCTATCTCCTTTTGAACTTGTTGTAGTTGACCTTTTAGGTTCTCAAGTCTTTTATCCACTGAGTTGAAAGATTGATTCATCCCTTTTGCTTTGTTCCCTAGACTCTACAGCTTCTGCCATACTGAGTACATAGCATAACCACTGATCTTTTGGATCCACACCTCTTGAACCATCTTGTTAAA